CTACTTAGGAGAGAAGCGGTTTGTTTGAGCTCACAGTTCCAGGTTCCAGCCCTTGATGGGTGACCTCACAGAGGCAGGAGCTTGAGGGCATTGGTTCCGTCGCATCCGTAATCAGGAGCAGAGGCCATCGAATGTGTGTTCACTCATTTGCCTGCTCCTGCTCATTCTCCACTCACACAGCTCAGAGCCTCCTGCCTAGGGAATGATGCCATCCATGGTGGGCAGGTCTTTCATGTAATTAAGACAATCCCCCACAGGCGTGCCCTTGGACCTACTTGACCTAGACAATGAGATTCTCTTCCCAGATGACTCTGTACCAGTGGTTCTTAACCTTCCTGACGCTGTGATCCTTTAGTACAGTTCCTCATGTTGTGGTGACCCCAACCATAAAGCTACTTTCATTGCTACTCCATAACTATAATTTTGCTACTGTTATGAATCATAATGTAAACATCTGTGTTTTCCAATGGTCTTAGGTGACCCCTATGGAAGGGTCATTCAACTCCAAAGGGGTCATGACCCACAAGTTCAAGTTGAGAACCACTGCCCTATGGTATGTGAAGTCAACAATTGAAACTATTACAGCCCCTCTGTACCCCACTAATCCCTGGCCCTAGTGGGATCAGTCTGTTTCAAGTCCTTCCCCTTTCCAGGGCCTTTTTAGTGAACGCACTTTATAGTGAATAATGGCCACTAACTAGTGATGCTCACCCAGCACTGTGGGGAGTGGGTTTTATGATGACAGCTCTATTATTTATGAGGTCTGGAGTCCTCACAGCACCCAGAAGGAGGTCTTCTAGACATCTCTTTTTATACCAGAGAATATGGGGGTTAGAAGAAGCCCAAGTTCCCAGTCTTTCTAGGTGTGGCAGAAAAATAGAATACAGACCAGCTAAGCACTTAAAAAAATCATTGTGCTTTGCTGTCTTCCCAGAATGCTCTTCCCTCTGGCATTTACTGTCTCTTCAGTGAAGGTGCAGGAGGTCTATGGGAAGCAGCTGGTTCTAGCAGGCCTGGCAGGACGGGGTGGTGGGTGGTGGGTCATTGGGTGGGAGGTGGCCCATCAGTTGTGCAAGGAAGGGGACACAGTTTCTAAGACTTCTTTCCCAGTATCTAGTAATTATCTAGCTAGTGTGGTGTCCTGCAGTCGGGGAGGGCTTCCTGGGAACAGGGCAGGGTGCCCAGGCAGGCAAACGGGTGGCATATGTGCTCCAGCCCCACACACAATGGGCTTGTGACTGTGCATCTGCACACAGTGAAATAATGGTCTATTACTGCTGGATGCAGAGAATAATCACAATATGTGGGATTGGGCCCTGAGACCATCTGTATCCCTTCTCTCTGGGAACATGGCTCCTGTGGGAAAATTGATAATAAAGCTTGGGGGAGGTGATTGACTCTCTCAGAGTCAGGGTGGCAGGTGCAAACAGGTAGACAGACGATAGTAAGTAAATAGTAGATGACCCCTTCAAAGAAACTCTGGTTTGTCAAGTTCATATATAACCTTTATTTACTCCCTTACAACTGTGGGAAAGACATAGGCGTGGGCCATAGGATAACTGAGTCAGTCCCTGGAGATGAGAAGGAAGGATGGTTGGCCTGTCCCTGCCCAGCATTGGCAGGATATGTCAAAGACCATACAGCCACTAGGTCCCATGGTTTTATTAAACCAAATCAAGGCTAAAGTGACATCTTGACAGTCTTTGGTATGTGAAGCCACACTATCTTCAAGTTGAGTGCATTCCAGAAAAAGCTATAGGCTTCTTACATATGGATGGCAGGGTGTTGCCCTGCAATCACTCATCCACGTCTAGTTAACCTCTGAGAATCTACATTTCTGACAAGCTCTTGGTGGCCTTTGGTTGGCTCAAGACTGCACTTTGAGAAATATTATGCTAAATCATAATTTTCAAAAAGGCAGAACCGGGCAGAGGAACTACCTCAGCAGGTGAAGGTGCTTGAGGCCAACCTGAAGACCTGAGTTTGACTTCTGGGACCTACACAGTGAGAGGAGAGAAAAAACTCCCACAAGTTACCCTCTGACCTCATGGGCACATGTTCATGCGCACATACAAGATAAACAAATGGAAAGTTAGAAAAGGGAGGCAAGAGACTGCGAGACGGCTCAATAGTTAAGAGCACTTGCTGTACTTCCTGAGGACACGCATGGCAGTTCAGAGATGTCCATAACTTCAGTTCTAGGAGATTTGATGCCCTCCCTCCTCTGGCCTATGCAGGGGCCAACTACACATGTGGTGTGCAGACATACATGCTAATAAAAATAGCCAGGCACATGAAATAAAAATAAGTGCATTTTAAGAAAGGAGGGGGACAGCTGGGCGGTGGTGGCGCACGCCTTTAATCCCAGCACTCGGGAGGCAGAGGCAGGCGGATCTCTGTGAGTTCGAGGCCAGGCTGGACTGCCAGCCTCCAAAACAATACAGGGAAACCCTGTCTCGTAAAACCAAAAAAAAAAAAAAAAAAAAAAAAAAAAAAAGACAGGAGGGGGACAAGACTATGGAAGTATAAAATAAATTTCAGTTACAATTTTTATTTAATTTCTTAATTAATGAGAAAGCTAGAGAGTTGTTAAAACCTGGCAAATTTAAAAGAGACATATGTATTGCCAAGGAGATGGCCAAGTCATTAAATTGCTTGCCTGCCAAGCGTGAGAATCTGGGTTCGGTTCCCCAGAATCCATGCAAAAATCTGGATGCCAGGGTACATGCCTATTGTCCTGGAGCTGATTCTCAGACCCCTGAGGCTCACTGTCTAGACAGCCTAACAGAACCAATGAGTTATTTGGCCAGCATGAGCCCTGTAATAAAAACAAGAGGGATGATGTCTAAGGATGACAGCCGAGATTGTCTTCTGGCTTCTCCATGAACCTGTACACACATGAACATGCATGGAACAGAGGGGCAGGAGAGGAAGAGGGGAAGGAGGAGGGGGAGAGGGAGATGAAGTTACCAATGAACACAAAATGCTTAATATCCTATGACTTGAAGTGGGATTTATCTTTTTTAAAGGCGTGTGGGTGTCTACTGAGCAAAATTCACTTTTGTAGTGCTATAGGTTGGATCTTGGGTGGCCCTCAAGGATGCCTGTCTTAAAGGCTTGATCCTTCATGGTGCTAGTAGGAGTGGGTGGGACCGTAAGAGGTAGGGTCTGGTGAGGAGTCCTTAGGACACTAAAGGTGTGTCCTCAAAGGACTGTGGGACCCTTGCCCTCCCCCCTTCCTCCTTCCTGACAATGAACTGAGCAGTTCTGCTCTGCCATGCCCCACGGCATGCAGCCTACCGTAGGTCCGAAAGCAGCAGGCCAACCAATCAACAACTACTACAACCAGCCAAAATAACCCCTTTCTCTTCATAGGAGGATTACCTCAGATATTTCATTATAATTACTAGAAAGTTGACTAGCAGACACATTTATGGATAAAAATAATTTGCGATATTATCAGTTTTCTGCAATTTAACTTCTATCCTTACAGGGTAAGTTAAATAGTCAACCTTAAGTATATGCCCCTATTGGACTGGATTAGAGAGCCCCCTGAGTCATCTGGAGAGCTTGTTAGACACAAATTACTGCGCTTCAGTCCCAGACTCATGGCCACTTCGGTCAACTAGAGACCCAAGAGACTAGAACGTTTCTTAAGTCAGGTTAATGTCCCAAAGACTCATTCTTGGCCACTTTCTTCTCTCTACTGTTGAAGCTAGGAAAGAGACGAGAGCCAGGTGACATGCGGCTGGCAGGGCTGGGCAGGTGAAGGAGGGCACTGGAAGGCTTAGCAGGGGTGGGGGTCACCAGTGTAGACCCAGAGGCATCAAATGTCAGAGAACCCCCTCACAAGGACAGTTTCCAGGAAGCAACAGTGTCTTGCCTTCATCCTTCAGCAGCTGAGGAGTCCTGTGAAGACAGGAGAGAGACCCGAGCACCTCAAAGGATTCTACCCTCCACTGAGGGCTGGTGGGATCATTGGATTCTCAAGTGCAGCTTGGGAAGCGCTTCCATTCAGTGAGACCTTGTAGAGGTACAATCGATAATGACATTTCTTCTCCCAAGGCCATCTAGTGGCTGTTGGATAAAAGACATCCAGATAGAATTTTTTGTTTTGTTTTTTGTTTTTGTTTTGAGACAGGGTTTCTCTGTATTGCTTAGGAGGCTGTCCTGGAACTTGCTCTGTAGACCAGGCTGGCCTCGACCTCACAGAGATCTGCCTGCCTCTGCCTCCCGAGTGCAGGGATTAAAGGCGTGAGCTACCACCGCCCTGCCAGATAGAAAATTCTTAAGGAGTTTATTCCAGGCCAGTAAATTAATTCTCTTCCTGGTCACCAGTGTGACTTATTGGTTGTGTGACCTCAGAATCTTGGCTGATAAGTAGTTATTGGGTGTTTTTTGCTTTCCAAAATGGTGTGCTTAGTGATGTTGGTGAAATAGTTTCAAATTCATATCACGTTTTCCATTTTGCAAAGTATTTTCTCCAGACATTGTCTCATTCTGAAAGACCCCTACCCAGGGCCCCCCTAGGAAAAGAAAAGCAAGGCCAGGCCGTTGCCTAATGAAAGAAACCCAGACCAGGTGTCTCACCCTCAAAACAGGATGTCTGTGATCACTATAGCAGTCATGGGACCCGGATAATAATTGCTGAAGCGTGCTGGGAACTTTCATATGACAATACCAGGACACCTAGTCCTTGGCAACTACCCTTGCCCCCAGTTGTGTCTATGATCACCATTGTAGTCATGGGACCAGGATAATAATTGCTAAAGTATGCCTGGGTCTTTCATAAAGTAATACCAGGAAACTTAGTCTGTGGGAACTACCCCTGCCCCCAAGATGAGCCAATGAAATGCCTGTTACTTATGTAACCATTGAAACTCTATAAATATTGTACTCCCTGAAAGCCCGGTATGCTCTACACCCAAGTTGCAGTAGCATCCGCAGGCGCCTGTGTACTCAATAAATCACCTCTTGCATTTGCAGCCAGTGGTCTGGCCCCGGTTCTTGGGCAGAGGGTTTGGTTCAGTGCCCGGCGCTTTGATGCCGAGGTTTTTCAATTCAATTAAGATTTTTGTTAATGTTTGTCTATCTCAACATCTTAAAATGTCAGATATTTCTTCAATAAAAGAGCTCTTTGAAAATGGGTTGATCATTGAAAGAGATTGAAATCTGGATCAGTTGAAGGCTAATCCATGTTCATGGACAGAAAGACTCAAGACTGCACAGGTACCAGTTATATCCAAGTTAATCTTTACATTCAAGGCAATCCTTATCAAAATGCTGGTACATTCTCTGTCTCTCTGTCTCTGTCTCTCTCTGTCTCTGTCTCTGTCTCTGTCTCTCTCTCTCTCTCTCTCTCTCTCTGTGTGTGTGTGTGTGTGTGTGTTTCACTATGTAGCCTTGGCTGGCTGTGAATTCATATTGGCCTGTCTACCTGTCTACCTTGGCTTCCTGAGTACTGGGATTAAAGAAAGGCATGAATCACTATGCCTGGATTCTGGTAGACTTTATTTTGTGGAAATTGATAAGATGACTTACAAAACTTACAGAATTCAAAAGGACAAGAAGGATAAGGCAATTTAGCAGAAGGAGGAAGAGAAGGAAGAAGAGGAGGAAGAGGAGGAAGCGGGAAGGCACATACCATAAAGCTGTGTGGCAGGAGGATGTAATGTTCCTCTCCTTGCCTGCCGTAAGTGTTTGCATAGTCCTGGGGTTTGGGCCCTAGGATTTTTGTGTACAGGAAGCTGAGGTTGCAGAAGCATCTATGGCATCGTTCCATTATCTAAACCAGATTGGAGTGTGCATTATCTATCATAGGATCTGCGTTCATGTCAGTCATCACTGGTGGTCCAAGGACTACTACCAAAGGTTGCAGTTGGTAAACACTGCCTCCTGTCTCTGGCTTGGTTCTCCCCATCAGGCTTTGGTTTGCCTGGCTGTGCTCTTGCAGATGTTACAGCCCTATGCTCTTGGAGGGCTCTGAGGCAAGTGCAACCCCTTGCAGAACAGGTCAGTAGGTGGGAACAGCAGTAGATGTCCTGACTCCCGTAGGCCTCTAAGGCTGGAGTCAAAAGTCTCTGGGGCTGAGGCAAAGCTGAGTTTCTCCACCTGCAGCCACTAGTCAGGTTCCGGAGGCTGACTCCAACCGAATCCCTGTGGGCAGTAGAAACTTCGAGTGGAGAGCCCCAAGTCTTCCTTTTTCCTCTGTTGAGATCTGGAGGTTTTCTGTAGTGCAGCCAGTAGAACATCTGCATTTACCAAGAGTCAGCTGGGCCCTCTCTGGCTATGGAAGGACTGCAGAGGGATTATGACCCGGGTGCATGATGAGGAATTTCCAGAGAATCAGCAAAATTATTACATGTGTGTGTGGGGGGGGGGATATTAGAGTTAAGGCTAATTAGGGAGGAGCTGTCAAAAAGTTACCAACAATTCCAGGTGCTCCAGGGGTACTTGCTGTGCTCCGGGGGTACTTTCTATGGGTTGTCACCCATGGCTTTGTCCAGCCCCACTGGCTCTAGCTAGCAAAGCCTAGGCTTTCCTGCCTCTGGGGTTTGTGTCACCCCTGTGTCTTCCTTGTCACCAAGGCTTGACATCTATTGGGCTAGTGGCTGCCTGTCAGGTGGAAGCACCATACTGGGGACCACATCACACACGACACACACCACACACACCACACACACCCACAACACACACACCAGACACTGGGGACCACATCACACACGACACACACCACACACACCACACACACCCACACCACACACACCAGACACTGGGGACCACATCACACACGACACACACCACACACACCACACACACCCACACCACACACACCAGACACTGGGGACCACATCACACACGACACACACCACACACACCACACACACCCACACCACACACACCAGACACTGGGGACCACATCACACACGACACACACCACACACACCACACACACCCACACCACACACACCAGACACTGGGGACCACATCACACACGACACACACCACACACACCACACACACCCACACCACACACACCAGACACTGGGGACCACATCACACACGACACACACCACACACACCACACACACCCACACCACACACACCAGACACTGGGGACCACATCACACACGACACACACCACACACACCACACACACCCACACCACACACACCAGACACTGGGGACCACATCACACACGACACACACCACACACACCACACACACCCACACCACACACACCAGACACTGGGGACCACATCACACACGACACACACCACACACACCACACACACCCACACCACACACACCAGACACTGGGGACCACATCACACACGACACACACCACACACACCACACACACCCACACCACACACACCAGACACTGGGGACCACATCACACACGACACACACCACACACACCACACACACCCACACCACACACACCAGACACTGGGGACCACATCACACACGACACACACCACACACACCACACACACCCACACCACACACACCAGACACTGGGGACCACATCACACACGACACACACCACACACACCACACACACCCACACCACACACACCAGACACTGGGGACCACATCACACACGACACACACCACACACACCACACACACCCACACCACACACACCAGACACTGGGGACCACATCACACACGACACACACCACACACACCACACACACCCACACCACACACACCAGACACTGGGGACCACATCACACACGACACACACCACACACACCACACACACCCACACCACACACACCAGACACTGGGGACCACATCACACACGACACACACCACACACACCACACACACCCACACCACACACACCAGACACTGGGGACCACATCACACACGACACACACCACACACACCACACACACCCACAACACACACACCAGACACTGGGGACCACATCACACACGACACACACCACACACACCACACACACCCACACCACACACACCAGACACTGGGGACCACATCACACACGACACACACCACACACACCACACACACCCACAACACACACACCAGACACTGGGGACCACATCACACACGACACACACCACACACACCACACACACCCACACCACACACACCAGACACTGGGGACCACATCACACACGACATACACCACACACAACAGAACACTTGGTTATCGTTTTGATCTGGGTGTCCCCCAAAAGTCATGTGGGTTGAGTGCTTGGTCATGAGTCTGTGGTGCTGTTGGGAGGCGGTGTGACCTTCAGGAGGTGAAGTCTAGCAGGCAATCTGTTGCCTCAGCCCCCCCCCCCCCGTTTGTTTTCCAGTCTCCAGAAGGCGAACAGGCCCCCCTCGCCATGTGGTCCACCAGATGCACTGCGCTGCCACCGGCCTGGAGCAACAGAGCCAAATGATCACGGAATAAAGCATCTGAGACCACAAGCCAAAGTGAAATGTTTCCTCTAAGTTGTTTATCTCAGATGTTTTGTCATAGTGATACAAAGCTAACATAACTCTGGTATTTCAAACCGCAATGGCTCCCAATGAAAAAAGACAGTCATGGTCTGTCTATTGCTTATTATTGCTGTTGCTATGATTAACACCATGACCAAAAGCAGCTTGGCAAGGAAAGGGTTTATTTCACTCTCGGTTTCATATAACAGTTGATCAGCAAAAGTATCGGGCAAGACCTCAAGTAGGGTGGGAACCTGGAGGCAGGAGCTGATGCAGAGGCCGTAGAGGATGCTGCTCACTGTCTTAGATCCTGGGCACTCCTGTATCTCCTGCCTGCTCCTTCCCCCTCCCCTTTCCTTCCTTGGCCAACTCCCATTTACCTCCCATGATTGAGTTCAATGGCTGTGGCTCAGAACAGCCAGGGCTCTTGACTCCTTGGATGGTGTGATTCCCTGCCACACACTCTTTGAGCCTCCGTTGCTCCTGAGCTCCAGGACCTTTATTCAGTATCTTTCCTTCCAGCATCATGAGATCGGGGACTGTCTGTGGGATGTGCTCCTGGAACCATACCTGGCACCTGGTGAGTGCTCGATCAGCCGTGTCTGAACATATTAGCATATAAATGAATGTATAAATTAATGATACCCATTTGGGAGACTGATTCAGTGGTATCAGACCCATCAAGTCTTACCTAACTCTACCTTTGGCAAAGATCATCAGTTTATGATGTGTTTGTTTTCATGTCAGAAATTCTGGAAAGGGCTGGGCTAGTGCCTCTCCATCGTCACCCAAACCTGTCTGCCTTGTCCAAATGCATGTCAGACTGGATGAGAGAATGTGACTAGAACAAGGTCAGCCCGTCTCCACCCCTGGAAATAAGGCCAGTGTGGATTGACAGTGTCATCAATGCATGTAAAGAACCAGACAGACCCATTCTTACTGGCTACTTTGCCTGAAAACCAGAGGTTTGCTTTTAGGCTGGTCCTAGCAGGAAGTCCTCTGAGGGCAAAACCACAAATGCCAAGGAAGGCTGGAGGATGCTACCCTAAGGCTGTGGTTCTCAACTTTCCGAATCCTGTGGTCCTTTAATAAATTGTGGTGACCCCCAACCATAAAATTACTTTTGTAGCTACTTCATAACTGTAATTTTGCTAGTTATGAATCATAATGTAACTTTCTGTTTTCTGACGGTCACCCCTGTGAAAGGGTCATTTGACCCCAAAGGGGTTGTGACCCACAGGTTGAGAACCACTGCCCTAGAGGCTGCATTTGTTTCCAGTTTTGTGTTCTGACATTGCATAAATTTACATTTACCATTTTTTTTTGTTCAAACAGTGTTTTAATATCACAAAAGAATCTCTGGTATTGAGAAATTAGGAAATGAAAATAGAGGCGGGAAATGGAATAAAAATTAGGTGCTCCTAGAACAGAGAATTCTGGTCCTACGGGTCCAATAACCAGAGAAGCACAGTGTTTTATGGCCCACAGGATGGGTTGTTTTCTTAAATCAGAGAAAATGAACGATGATAATGACTAACAAGGTGCAGCACACCGCACATGCTCAGATCCCTGGGAAGGACCACATCCCCTAAGCCTGATTATCCTCAGCTTAATGTTTATTTCCATCATGAAATAAAATTCTCAGCTTTAATTTATGGAGGGAGGGGTTCACAGAGGCAAAAGTGCCTGACGCTCATAAAAGTCATAATGTGGCTCTGTACTAATGACCAGTTCTAACGACTGGTGATTTTACCATTCCAGTGTCCTAGTATGTATAAGCACTCCTTAGTACCATGTTCATATTTATGTCGTTTTTACAAAGACGGCACTGTGTTTGCAGTTTTTTAATGATCTTTAACTGTACCATGGATCCGTGCCTTTCTATATGATTGAATGCACTTAGATTTTAAAATTAGGTTTATTATTTGTGTGTGTGTGAGAGAGAGCGAGAGTGTGTGTGTGCGTGTGCACATGAGATCAGAGGACAACTTGTGGGTGTCTGTTCTTTCCTTCCATAGCGTGGGTCCTTGGGATCAAATTCAGGTGCCAGGCTTGGTGGCAGACAGTTTCACTGTAACCATGTTTTTCCTTGATGTTTTATTTCTCATCATAAAAGCAACACATTCATTCTTAATGCCCTCATGCTGTTCCATAAGTGTACGTACTACAATACGCATAACGAACTGATTTTTGGTATTCTGGGGCTTTTGCTGTGATAAATGACAGTCACCTGGACACCGAATTAGTAAAATCAGTGCTTTGTCCAGCGCTGTCTCCTTAGGGTAAATGTTGAAATTTGATGCTGAAGGAGTTGAGTACATGCCACCACCTGAAGAAGCTACTCTGGCATGCTGGCTGCTTTGAGATAAAGGTGCTTGAAAAACAGCAGGCTTGAGAAAGGCCTCTGAACATGGTACTACTTCCTCACTCAAAGGGGAGGAAATCCTTGTGTGGAAAAGACCCTCCCTTCACCAGGAGAGGAACGTTCCCACCGTCAAGGGTAAGAGTCAGGGGAAACCATTCACCTTTTTTTTTCTATTTTTAGACATGATCTTTCATTGACCTACGGCTCACTAAGAAGGCAAGACTGGATAGCCAGCAAGTTCCAGGGGTCCTCCCGTCTCTGTCTCCCCAGCACTGGGATTACAAGCAGGCCACCATCCTTGGCTTTTTCTGTGGATTCCGAGAATTAGACTCAGAGCTTCAGACTTCTTCAGCAGGCATTTCTCCTGCCCTGAGCTGATATGGGATGGGCCTCTGTATGCTGAGAATGGGTTGCTTTTATTGGTTGATGATTAAAGCTGTTTTGGCCAATGGCCAGGCAGAATATAGCTAGGTGGGAAATCCAGAGTTAGGGGGAAAAAAAAGAAGGTGGAGTCAGAGAGACGCCATGTAGCAAGGGGGAAGTAAAATGTGAGGTGACAAGTTACGAGGCTCATGGTAAAATATAAACTAACAGAAATGGGGTAATTTAATTGTGAGAGTTAGTAATATGCCTGAGCCATTGGCCAATCAATTGTAATTAACATTAAGCTTCAGAGTGGTTATTTAATAAGCGGTTTTGGGAGCTGGCGGGACAGACAAGAAGCCTCCAATTACACTGAGCCAGACAATTAAATGGATGTAAAACATACGCACAGAGAAAAGCATGCAGACTTATTTCATGCAACTTTTACATGACCCCGGAGCCTTCATGAGAAAAAAAAAGACCCCCAAATTCAGTTAGAGTTGAACATTTGCATATGGAACTGGACAGAGAGTAGCCAAGTCCTGTGGAAACAAATTATATGGGGTGGCTCAGGCGAGGTGAGAGTTAACATGACACAGCCTGCACAGAGCTCCCTCCATGCTAGCACCCCATTGCATTCCACCACCCCATTTCTTTCTCTTTTGCAAGGTCTGCTGTAGTACAAGCTGGCTTCCAGCTTGCTACGTAGCTAGGATGACCTAGAACTCCTGATCCTCCTGCGTGGTGGGACTGCAGGCCTGCATCGCCACTGTGAACTTCCACTGCTGACGGAAATGCACTGCAAGGGCACAGTGGGGGCCTCCATCATGTGGAGATGTCACCTCCTGCTTCAAGAAACAGAAAGAAGTTCTGGGGCGCCTCCTTGTTTGGTGTCACTATTTTGACTCAAAATAGTCTCTGCAGCCAGGTGGCATGCTCTTAACTCCTTCTGTGGGAAGGAAACAGTGGGAAACAATGCCTGATTTTTTTTTAGGGGAAACCCTGTGTTTTCTCAAGCCTTTGTTTTGGGTTTGTTTTAACGGCACCTGCGTTTCTTGCAGTGGTTTTTCACAAAGAAACTTCCTTTCCAGAGTCACAATATTTCAACTCATGTTCTTTCCCCCAGCAGGGAAATATTGGCAAACTCAGCCTTTGTTAGCCCGCTGACATTGATTGAAATAGTCATTTCCTCTGGGAAGCCTTTGCCATGGAAACAAACTTGGAGCTTGGATCTGAATGTCTGAGTGAGATGGAGTCCTCGGGTGCTACAACTTCTAATGGCTGCCAGCCTTTTTCACAGAGCTATCGAAGTTAAGATCTGCAGGACAGGGCAAAGTAGTATGTTCCCACTGGCTTGGCTGATGCTAAGGAGCAAGGCAGAACAGTGTTGGGGCACACATACTTACTGCTGGGATGCCTGGATTTTCAAGCCTCCCTCTGCTACTGCAAGTTGACTATTCTGAGACTCAACTTCTGTCTCTACAGAATTCCTAAGATTGTTGTAATTACTAGCCAGCACACTAAATGGTACTTACAGATGTCTCACTGTCAATAAGAACTGTAGTTTACTGGATAGCTGTACCCAGGAAAATCCTTTACCCATGAAATACATATGGGCTGTAGTTCCAACTTTGTGAACATTTGATGTCTATATAATTAATTCAAGCTGTTATATGGCAAAATACCCAAGGCTGGATAATGTATGAAGAACAAATTTAATTTTTGTGCTGTGGTTGTAGAGAGGGTGTCATCTGTGGAGGAGGGTGAGAAAGAGGTACACAGGATCTTTCAGTGTTTCTGGAATTACTTCAGAGGCTACAAAGCACCTAGAAGACTTCAATTTGATCATGTGATTCTTTGAATAAAGACATTTCCAGGAGACTGTGGGATCCCTGAAGTTAAGGACTATTTTCTCCTTGGTACCTACCACACTGCCTGATATATCCTAGGCCTTCAACACTTTTTGGCTCAATGAATAAAGAAAGAAGTTGGGATTCTGAAGGTAGCTACCAAGAGCTGAAGCAGAAAAAGAGAAACGAATTGGTCCTGTTTGGGGATGGGAAGAAAAAGGCAAGAAAAAGTTGATGTACTAACTTTATTTTTGTTTTTGTTTTTTCAAGACAGGGTTTCTCTGTGTAATAACTCTGGCTGTCCTGGAACTCAATCTGTAACCCAGGCTGGCCTCAAACTCAGAGATCCACCTGCCTCTGCCTCCCAAGTGCTGGGATTAAAGGTGTGTGTCACCACCATCAGGCGATGTACCAGCTTTCAATAGAACTCTCAATAAGCAAACACAATGCACTGTCCTTATGCATCATGGGGAAGAGATGGAGTCCAGCACCCAGATTGTTGCACAAAAGTCAATGAATACAAGCAGGAAGGAGAAATGATCCCTAGGGTAAGGACCCAACAGATGTTGTTCTGCAGCACGGAACTAGAGAAAACCACACGACCGTGGGCTGATCCCTGCTGCTTGGATCTTGGATCTTGACTGTTGGAATGAGTGTCAGCCACCTTGCCTAATTCTCCAGTGCTGAATGTGATGACAATTGCTTTAATGCAGATTGTAGCCCAAAGAATGTCGGAATGCTACTGCTTGAAAAGGATGATTTTGGTGTCCCACAAATAAACACTAACAAAGCTAAGTAAACCGGCCAGGTGATTTCTTTTCTCAAACCAGGCTGTGCCCGAGTGCAAACTGGGCTATCGAGCAGCATGCTCGGCCAAAATAGCCTCTGTGTCTTCCATCCCTGATGCTGGTATTGACTGCATCTCATCCCATTGGTTCGAGCTTGACTTCACGATATGATGCAACTGACTAATTGGCATAAAGGGAAAGGGGGTTCGGAAAAATATGGCCTTTGTTGTGCTATCTATCTTTGATAGAAACCATTTTTCACACTACCTATTTTGCTGGCACCTAGTGGCCAAGCTCAGGAGTAAAGTCAGAGGACGTGAAATGACAGATCTGTCAGTACAGATAGTCTGCAGCTCTATTCTTGTACACCATATTGTTTTGCGTATAACTGGCGCTCAATAAATACTGGTAAATTTTAAAAAGCTGGTCACTGTACAGTACATAGTGCACGTCTGGTTTTACCAATTGCTGGCATTTCCCAAATATATGCAAAGAGGACAATTTAATTATAGTTTAAAGGAAAGAACCCCCAGGGAAGGCAGGCTGTCACTATCAGTAGCTTCCCAGAGTACAATGGAGAAGAGAAGAAATTGAACTTGAGTGAGGCCAGCATGGGGGTCAGTCACGTGATGATGGACAAGCAGCCACATGGTGGGAGGGGAGCTGTAGAGAACGGGGGCAGCCCAAAGTACCAGAAAATATCACACTTGGGCTCTGGCCAGAATCTGAGACGAAGAGACGAAACAGAAAAAAGGAAATAGTTATACCTTTCTGGGCAAGGTAGACCCAACTGATAGACTGGAGCTGGAAAGGACTGCCCAGTCTTAACGGAACTAATTTGTTTGTTGTGCAGGCATGTGTGTGGCATGGCAGAGAGGGTCCGTGGACTGCTTTCACGGCTTGGCTCTGTCCTGCTACCTTGCTACCTTGTGGGACTCAGGTTGCTGGACCTGCACACAAGTGCCCCCGGCCTGTATACAAGTCACAAGTGCCCCTGGTCTGTACACAAGTGTCCCTGGTCTGTACACAAGTACCCATAACACCAGGCTCCAACCCTCAGCCCCCCACTCTGAGCTACCTTGAAGGCTTTTTTTGGTGGGGGACTTGTATTTCTTTTGATAACACACTATCAATTTCATTTATTTATTTATTATTTTGAGTCTCAGGTCTGTCCCAGATCTCCAGCTCATTCCCATTCTTGAGACTGCCCTTCTTTTTCTTTAATAACCTATCTATATTTCTATCACTTAAAAATTTTTAAAATGTATTCATTGCAATAAATGCAAACAGTACAGAAAAATATGGGGAAAATTAAAACCAGGTACAATATCTGTGGGAAATGGTAATCACTCTGATAATTTTACATATAAACTAGACACAGAGATGCTTTTCTGCAAAAGGAGGGCTTAAATAACACTATTGACACCTTGTTATTGTGATCTAGAAAATTCTTGTCATTGCATGTAGATCAAGATTACCCTAGCTGTGTTCATAATATTTGTTCTTTACACATCATGTAAATTCAATCCCCACTATTGAACATTTGAGGCATGTCTAATTCCATTAACGCTACTGTAGCTAAATGCCCAAGACTGGGTAATAGATGAAGAACAGAAGGTAATTCTTGCAGTTCGGGAGGCTGGGAAGCCCAAGAACAAGACATGGAATTTCTTGTTTCTCATGAAGGACTTCTTGCTCCATACTCATGTGGTAGAGGGAAAAAACCAAGAGAAGCCAATACCGTGTGAAGCTCTTATAACTCAGTAAGTGCGTTCGTGGACCAGGAGCCCCCATCACTTGATCATCTCCTACAGCTCCACCTTTCAATAAAATGGCATTGGCAAGGGAATCTCAACATGAATTTTGAAGGGGGCACTTTGAAGCCTGCAGCAGGGAAGATGGCAGCAAACGGGAGATCAGATCGAAACAGCTACAAGGTCACACAGGTCATGTCTGGGTCCTGTCAACAATTTGGGAGAGGGAGTGAGGGGGTGTGTGTGCTTCTCCCCACTTCCCAGGGCAGACTCAGCCTACCCTGCTGCCTTTCCCACCACCTGCTCCTGGACAAGGGGGTCAGAACACGGCCTCTTCCAATCCACTGCTTTGGCAATTGGAACCAGTTTGGGCTGAAGGCACTCCAAAAACAACAGATGCAAGCAGGGCACTCTCAGCTCTGTCTTCTCTGTAAACAGGAGACAAAAGCGCTCACGTGGAAGATGTCCCCGTCACCAGCAGAAAAGCCACTGGGAGCCGCTCAGAAAACAGCTTGTTCACGGGGGAAGAAAGTTCCGGCACTTTTTAGCTTCTCTGCCTCCTTCAGCCTTTGTTCAGGATAACCTTTTGTTAAGGGCCAAACAGAAAACTACTCTTTTTTTTTTTCTCTCCAGACCGGAATTCGTTGGAGAGCTGGGTGTCCCCATTTCTCTCATAGTAGTTCCCAGCCCTGGCCAGCAGAGGAGGGAGGAATCCCGTCCTCTGGATCCAATTTTTTTGTTTTGTTTTGTTTTTCGAGACAGGGTTTCTCTGTATTGTTTTGGAGGCTGTCCTGGAACTCACTCTGTAGACCAGGCTGGCCTCGAACTCACAGAAATCCGCCTGCCTCTGCCTCCCAAGTGCTGGTATTAAAGGCATGCGCCACCAACACCCAGCTCTCTGGATCCAATTTTGAGGAGTCATCTACCTCTGCAGCTCGGGTATCTGCTGGACTAGCTCCCCGAGGGTTGTTTAGAGTTTCACTGTCTGAGTGGTACTAAGGCCCTCATGGTTCTGGGTTGTTGCTTACTGGTCATTGGCTGCACCTGAGCTGTCCTTTGATCTTGTCCCTAAAGTCCTGGGTAGTTATGGAGGCCACTGCTTATCTCATGTCAAAGCCCTTTGAGCCCCTGGAGGGTCACAAACACACAAGGGTCTGCTGTGGGCATCCCTGAACTTTGCCCCCAAGCAGGATACAGCCCCTCTTGGGCCCCATGCTTTTGATGTTGTTGTTTCTATACTCTCTCTTCCAATTCCCACCTGGATTTTGGGGTCTAGATCTTTCCCAGATTATTTGGCTTTTCTCTCCTGCGTCTCTGCTTTTCACATGTGCGTGGACCTCGGTGCTTGGAAGCTGGGAGCCCTTGCAGGCTAGAGGACGGAACATGCAGCACAGCTTGTGCTTACAAGGGACAGAAAGCACAAAGAGGGAAAGTACTAAAAAGAAGTGACCTCAGTCCTGAGCACTTGTCAAGTGGCCCAGTGCCGGTGTTCAGCAAAGACTGTTAGAGAATAAGCAAGCTGGATGGGGAAGAGAAAAGCAGGGCCCTGGCTTAGATGAGCTTCAGCCCCAGCCACTGGCTGACCTCCCTCCAATGACCTAATCCCCTGAGGAAGGAGAGATGAGATCACTTCTGGGACCCTCTCCAGCCCGACACTCTGGATTTTGCGTCTGCATAGAAAAAATAGAATATTTGTGCTGTTCCTTCACTGAACTTCAGCAGGGATGAAGCACCCCAGTGTGTGTGTGCTGTGTGTGTGTGTGTGTGTGTGTGTGTGTGTGTGTGTGTGTGTGTGTGTGTAGGGGGGCGGGGGTGTGTTTCAGGCTCTACATACGATTGCATCCTCATGTGTTCCTCTGGGGCAGACAGGACTTTTCCTGTCTCCCTCTTCTCTTCTGTCTCTGTGTCTCTTTACCTCTTTTCTCTTTCCTTCCCCCTCCCTCTCCTTTCTAATAAAACTTCTCACTAAGCTCTGTCTGCCTGGCGTGTTTGTCCCCAGCCCCAGTCAACCATGGAATCCGTCAAGGTTCACCACGGGCTTTTATCATAACAGCGGCTGCTTGGCTGCTTGAGGATTTCCAGCTGAGGACATCAAGGAATCCCAAACTGTTTTTGGATGCTCTCGGTTGAAGAGATGGTGTGTCATCTTCCTGGGATGAATAATTCTTGTCTTCCAGGACAATCACCTTCTGGAATCACAGTAGCTGTTTTCACGGAGACAGTAGAATAAGGGCACATGAGAGTTGGGAAGGGTTTGAGTCTTAGCTGAACCACCCTTGCTGTCTGTCTGAAAGACAGAGATGTCACCTGTCCTGGTCCTCAGAGGCTGACACAGCTGGATACATCACTCCTTGTGAGCATCTTTGGTTTACCTGGGCTTGGCCCAAGATGTCAGGAAAGAGAAGAGGCCAGAACACCCATTCCTGTGCTCTCCCATGGGCTGCCCTACTGGTGGCTCCTCTATTTCAACCCCTAGCTCCTACCACGAGTCTCAGATCCTTCCCCATGAGCTGGAGTCACTACTCCTCCCTTGTGTTTTTACCTTAGGGGGCTCTAGCTACCGTCCTGTTAGCCCCATCACTTCCCCAGGACACCCTGATGAAGCTGTGTTGAGGTTCTTTTCTTCTTTTTATTTTTAAGACTTATTTCCATTTTTAATTCCTTGTATGCGTGCGTCTGTGTGAGGGTGTGAGCATCTGAGTGTAGGCAGAAAAAGGCAGTAAACCTCCTGGGTCGGAGTCACAGGCAATAGTGAGCTGCCTAGTGTGGGTGCTGGCCTGAACTTGCATCCTCTGCAAGAGCAGTGCATGGCTTACTTGCTGGGCCCTCTCTCCAGACCCCTCCATAGCTCTAAAAAGTCAGTTGTGGGTGAACACAGTCAGAGTCCAAATGAGAACCTGAAGAGAAGCATAACCAAACACTGTTTATCAACACATTTCCAAAGGCAGGTAATTTTTGGAGGAAGATGAAACCATGACATCTGAGCAGACACAAACTGAACATGTTAAGGAACTTAATTTGTTATTGTGAATGAAAAACTGCTAAGATGTTACACACAGCTCAAGTGAGTCATCAGAGTGCAGCCACATGAAATTAATTTCCAAATAGAGAACACCTTTGACTTGCAATGGGGTTATATCTTGATGCATCTATTGTGCATTGAAAACAAATTCATGATACCTTACCTGTGAGCCCAGGCTGCCTTGAACCTGCTGAGACATTCCAGTCAGCCCATGGAGTGGCACAGACATCAACACGAAGTGTGCTTTATAACAAACAATTGGACACCCCTGCAGCTTATTGAACATTGGTACTGAAAATAAAGATAGAATTTTGGCTGTGTGGACATAGGACATAGAGATGCACACTTTGTAGACATGACCGGATGCAAAAATCACAAATCACTATGTTCTAGCTTGTTTTCCAAACACTACGGTCAAAGGCAACTTAGGGGAAGAGAGGGTTAATTTCAGCTTACATCTTCGGGTCACAGTCTATTAATGGAAGAAAGTTGGGGCAGGAATGCAAGGCAGGAACCTGGAGAAGAAAGGCTACATGAAGGAAGGCTACGTACTGTCTGTCTGTCTGACTCACTCTTACTTAACTGTTTATACATCCTAGGCCCACCTACCTAGGTTTGGTACCTACTGCCCATAGAGGGCATTTCTACATCAATCAGCGTTAATGGAAATGACCCACACACATGCCCACAGGCCAATCTGATGGAAGCAGTTCTTCTGCTGAGGTTCCCTCATCCAGGTGTGGTGGTTTGAATAAGAACGCCCTCCCCCCACACACACTCAGCTCATACATTGGAACACTTGGTCCCCAGCTGGTGGAGCTGTTTGGGAAGGGTTAGAGGTGTGGCCTCGCTGGAGGAGGTGGGTTTCCCTCTCTCTCTGCTTCCTACTCTGCAGATAAGGATGTAAGCTCATAGCTAGTTCTCCAGTGCCAGGCCTGCCTGCTTGCTGCCATGCTCCCCACCAAGAAGGTCATGGACTCACCCTCCGGCACTGGAAGCCTAAGAGGCCCTTTCTCCTGTAAGCTGCCTTGGCCGCGGTGTGTCTTCCCAACGACGGAGAAGCAAGGAAGGCATCAGGTGACTCTAGGTTGTGTCAAGTTGACACTAAAAACTAAGTAGGAAGCACACTGTCCAAATCGCATGGGCAGCACAGCATAAGGCAGGGTCAGTGTTTTCTCACAAGGTCTTGTAGCTGACCAGGAGGCTGCAGCTTGCTGTCGTCGCCTAGCATCATGGGAGATCTCCTTACCGCATAATGCAAGCCTGGGAAAAGACCACAATTCAAAATTCAAAGTGTGGTTTCTAGCGAGCTTGTGTGTGGCTTCCACACCACTGGTAAAATTGAAAATCTGAAGTTTAGGAGCTGGGAGTGTAGTTCAGCTCGTGGAGAGTTTGTCCTGAGTTCCTGCCCCAGCTGACGTGCACAAAGCCAGAATTTCCTTCCCCAGCGGCCCAAAAGCCAGGTGTGGTGATATGCACCTGTAATGCTAGCACTTGGGAGGTGGGAGAATCAGAATTTTGAGGTTATCCTTGTGTACATAATGAGTTTGAGGATACCTGGGTTGGGCTTAGGTAGCCTGGGCTACCCTATGTAAAAAAGAAGAAGAAGAAAAAAACAACCAGCCCCCCCCATAAAAACCATAAATTGAACTGGGCAGTGGAGGTGCACACCTTTAATCTCAGCACCCGTGAGGCAGAGGCAGGAGGATATCTGTGAGTTTGAAGCCAGCCTGATCTAGTTCCAGGACAGCCACGGCTGTTATACAGAAAAATCCTGTCTCGAAAACCCAAACCAAGCAAACCAACCAGCCAAACAAACCCCACATAAGTTGAACCAGTGTAAGTCTAGAACACTGTAGAAGATGATCTTTTCTCTTGGGAGATGGAAAAGGAAGGTAGTTGAACCTTCACAGGACAGAATTGATGTGTATGCCTACCCCTCCCCCCCAAAAAAAAGAAAAGGAAGGAAAAAAAAAGCCCTGTGCTGCTCTGAGTAATCTACTTTGTGCAAAACAGCTCAAAGGCAACGAAAGTTCCCAGGGTGCCCCTAGCATCACAACCGACTTGTGTGCTTCAGTAATGTTGTTTTCAAGTGAAACAGGAGTCTCCCTACACCACATTTCCCAAGCACTTAATACCTGAAGGCATCGATTCAGCACACGGGGGCTAATAATCTACATGGGATTTAAGACAGAGAGCTAAGCCGTACGCTTTCAGCTGTCCAACTGATGGGCACTTACTACATTTCTTCCCTGTGACATGATTTATTTAGAAATAGAGTCCCCTTGTAAAGCTTTCCTCTTTGGGAAAAACCAAAAGTTTCCACTGTTTAAACAAGTTTGGACGCCACCAAGTCACACCCAACAGCATCATTTTATAGAAGACTAAGAATCAGATTGGGGCATAAGCTCGTCCGGGGCCTGCCTCTTGTTCATTGATCTCTGGTTGGAAGACTGACTGGCTTTGCAGCCAAGAAGCCGCTCCTCTTCGGCTATGTGAGGTAACACAGAGGGCTTTCCTGGAAGGACGGACTTAGGAAGCAGGCTGTGACAGAGGGCTTTCACCGCTTGGGCTCAGGAAGTCTGCTCTCCTCTCTAATTGGATGCCGGGAGTTGTAAGCAAACAGGGATCTATATGAAATCGTTGCTCCCTGTCCCTAATTAGACTTTGGAATTTGGCTAAGTGCATCGTAGAGGATGCTCATTTGTTGTGTCGACAGGGACACTCAGCGTTAACAAATTTTTTTGAGGTAACTTGAGTCCCAGCATCGCTCTGGTGCTGGGGCAGCAGGTTCGCTGGCAGCTGAAAGACATCTGCAGGAGCTTGCGACTGGCTGGCTGTGAACTGTTTTTCCAATGTCCCTGCTTGAAGGCAAAGTTCAAAAGTCTCTGCTTTCACCAAATCAAGGAAGCCCTTTCCGGAGTTACAATCAGGGCTCAGTTCCCCGAAGTCAGGGCCACGTGCCGTGGCATTTCCCAGCCCATCTCCGTCTCCTATCTCTTGGCCCGGGTGCAGCCAAGCCTCATATTCTTATTGGCACGGTCAGCTTCAAGGGAAGCTTTGTCTCCAAAAACAATGTGGTTCCAATTGGCCCTGCCACCGACAGCCTCGGGATTCCAGATGGAAAAAGGGTCCAAGCTTCCCAGCTTGTAGCCCCTGCTCCCCCCCCCCGTTGCTTTAATCACCACGGAGGCACATATGGTTAGCAGAGCCTCTTTAAAGGGGCGGAAAGATTTGCAGAACAGCTCATCTTTTCTTCAGCCCTAACCCTGTGTCACGTGAATGGAACACATCCTTGCATCTGGCTGGCTGGGTTAAAGAGGCCAAGGGCAAAGGGGCCGGGAGGTTCATCTTTATCAAAAATGATGCCAGGAAGGAGGCAATTTTGGCTGCCAAGGAAAATTATAACTTTTCTTTGCAACTATAGCTAGTCACTATCTTATATTTTTTTTCCTCTTTTCAAAAGACGTCCTTTAGGAACCCCAAGGATTTGGCAGGAATCCTCTGGCAGAGGGTGAGGGAGGGCAGTTTTCCAGAAGGTTGGAGCAGAGCCTATTTACTGTATTTTACTCGTGTGTCCGGAGGGAGAGGGGAATAAAGGGATGGGAGTACTTTTCTTTCAGCCACACCCCCACTCTCTTGCCACTGCAGAAAGGAAGGGAGGGAATAGGACTGGAGATTTCCGAACTTGACAAGTTTTAGCAGTCACAGGTCACGTGGCGGGACTGGGGATTCGGCATGATCGGTCGGTAAAAGGTATCGCGCTTGCCCTGCAAGGAAGAAGACCCATGAAGGCCAGTTGGGAGCCTGCGTCTGCGACATCAGTGCCAGGGAAGCAGCGTCCAGAGAATCACTGGGCTTGCTAGCCAGCCAGTCTAGCCAGGTTCAGTGAGAGACCAAGTCTCAGAAAGTAAAATAGAGGGTCTGGAGAGATGGGTCAGCGGTTAAGAGCACAGGCTGCTCTTCCAGAGGACCTGGGTTTGATTCCCAGCACCCGCAGGAAGCTCACAATCATCTGTGACTTCAGTTCCAGGGGATCTGACACTCTCTCTTGGCATCTGTGGGCATCAGGAATGAATGTGGTGCATAGACAAACACGCAGGCAAAATGTCTGAACACACAGAAAACATAAAGTAAAAGAAATTAAAGTAAGGTGGAGAGTGATGAGGACGATGTCCAACATCGACCCCTGGCCTGTGCACACACATCTGCAGACCCATACACACGTATGTACGCCCCTGTACACACAAAGGTCTTATGGCAAGGCAGCCTCTGCTGCTACACCATCCCATTCTGTCTAGAACCCTCTGGATAGTCTCCAGGAGGCCCCTCCCCGGAGTCGCCCCGAGCCCTCACTCTCAGTACGCACCCTTGCATCCAGCTACAGAGGAGTGTTCGGATGACCTCGTATTGGCCACGTTGAAGCATTCGCATCCACTGCCTCAGTATCAGGTAGGGAGATTGCAAAGGAGTGGCCCAGCTCAGCACACACAGCACACTGCTCCAAAATGAGGCTCGTCTACTCTCCCACTGTCCCTCTACAGAACACAGTCTCCTTCTCCCCCCTTCCCCCTTCCCAACTGCCATAGGCTGAATAAAACCATACTCTTTTTATTCTTTCATCCCTGATGACCATCCCAGGAGTCTGTAATATAATAAGCCATTGGTCCTTTGGAGTTAAGAGGTGGAATTAGCATAATGCCTGCTTTTTTTTTTTTTTTTTTTTTTTTTTTACGTACACACGGACCTAGCTAATGAAGGGAAGAGACAATGTTTGGATGTTTGGGAGTGGATCTTTCTGCAGTGTTTACCCTTCAAATCCTCTGAAGCATTGTGAAGGAGTTCATGAGCACAGCCACACGCAAGCATGAACCTGCTGTGTGCATGTGTGTCAGGGCCAGAGGAGGGAGGGTGGGAAGATCTTCTGCTGATGGGGAGACCTAGTTTTGCCCATTCAAAAAGCTCCCTTGTCTGGGGATGGACAGGCTGAAGGCCTCGGGACTTTCCCTGAGGAACTAGTTCTCTTCAGTGACTGTGTCTGCCACCAGGAGAGCTGCCTGCTGGTACAGATACGCCATTTGTCAGAGGTTGTTCCCAGAGCTGCGGAGACAGCCACCTTTGTTGAGGTCTGCTAGAGGAAGCCAGCTTTTCAAAGCGGGAAGCCTTTTGGCTTGTTAAATGGAAAGGGACAATGAGCTCTTTTCCTTACTGCAAATGACCCGGGGCGCTCAGGCTTAAAAATGCTGTTTGAAAGAACACATAGATAAATGGCAATGGCCACTAGTTCAAGTGAAAGGAAACTGATCTCAGCACCCGGACGGAACGTAACGGCTCGTCTGCTGCTTATGTTTTACACATATTAAGTTTCCATTGCATTTTTCGAGATCTAATGGTGGTGTGGGTTTGGGGTTTTCCATTTAACATTTTGCCATATGGTCATGTGTGTGTGTGTGTGTGTGTGTGTATGCAAGAAAGTGTTCTTACATGCTTGTGGAGGTCATAGGTCAATGTCCGGTGTTTTCCTCAGTGGCTCTTCACCTTATTTTGTTTTTGAGACAGTACAATAATAACATATATAATTCCAGTGGGATAATATTTATTTTTATGGGTCTGTTTTGTCAGTGAACCTGGAGTTCATCAATTAGCCATCTGGATGGCCAGTGAGCCCCCAGGATCCATCCTGGTGCTGGGGTTATAAGCATGCACTATTGCACCCAACTTTTTTGTTGTTGTTGTTTTTGTTTGTTTTTAGAGACAGGGTTTTTCTGTCTCTAAAACAGCCCCAGCTATCCTGGAACTCACTCTGTAGACCATGCTGGTTTCAAACTCAGAGGTCTGCCTGCCTCTGCCTCCTGGATGCTAGAATTAAAGGCGCGTGCCACCACTGCTTGGCAGCACCCAATTGTGGATCTGAATTCAGGTCCTGGAGCTTGTACACCAAGTTCTTTACTGATTGAACCATCTCCTCAGACCCAAAAAGATTTATAATCAAATCTTCCCCTGATCTGAGATATCCAGCAGTGTCTTTTAACTTGGCCATACTAGATAATGTTGAATTAATATTCATGAATATATAATTTTACTTGAAGAATGAATGATAAGTAACAAGAGTTAAGCAAGGGATTGATTAAAAATAATTCTTAAACCTTTTAGTTTAAGACCTCTTTGCAGCCTAGAAAAATGAATGAGAGCCTAGGACCCTTTGTTTAAGTAAAGCATTTTGATACTTGCCTTATAGTACTAGACATTTTAAGTGAAAATTCAAAGCTTTATTAAGATATTTTCAAATAATTCAACTATATAGAAATTATATACAAATGCAAAACTCATCATTTACACATTTATTTGAATAATAACTGTATTTTTCACAAAAGAGACACATACCAATTTTGATATTGTTTTACATTTTTAAGGCCTCTTTTATATATTTTCATATCAATCTCTTGTGATATGTGTTTTGATTGTATATGAAGACAATCTGTTCTTGTATAGATAGAAATATGGCTGGAAAAGGAAGAGAGTATTCTGAGGTGGTCTTTGTCTTGGTGTGTGTGTGTGTGTGTGTGTGTGTGTGTGTGTATAGGCCAGAGGTTGACATCCGGGGTCTTCCTCTATTGCT